TCTTGGGGGGAAAGGGGGAAAGGATCTCAACCAAGGGAAAAGATCTTGGGGAGGACAAGGGAGAAGATCTCGGAAAGGGGGGAAAGGATCTCAACAGGGAAAGGGGGCAAAGGATCTTAAGGGAGGAAAAGGGAGAAGATCTCAGGGGGGGAAAGGCCTTAGGGGGGGAAAGGGGGGAAAGGATCTCAACAAGGAAAGGGGGGAAAAGATCTTAGGAAGGAAAAGGGGGAAGATCGCGGGGGGAAAAACGGCCTTAGGGGGGAAAGGAGGGAAAGGATCTCAACAGGGAGAGGGGGGAAAATATCGTAGGGAGGAAAAGGGAAAAACTCAGAGGGAGAAAGGGCCTTAGGGGGGGAAAGGGGGAATGGATCTCAACAGGGAAAGGTGGCAAAAGATCTTAGGGAGGAAAAGGGAGAAGATCTCAGGGGGGGAAAGGCCTTAGGGGGGAAAGGGGGGAAAGGATCTGAGCAGGGAAAGGGGGGGAAAGATCTTAGGGAGGAAAGGGAGAAGATCTGGGGGCAAAGGCCTTAGGGGGGAAAGGGGAGAAATGATCTCAACAGGGAAAGGGGTGGAAAAGATCTTAGGGAGGAAAGGGAGAAGATCTGGGGGAAAAAAGGCCAACAGGGAAAGGGGGGAAAGATCTAAGGAAGGAAAAGGGAGAAGCTCTCAGGGGGGGAAAGGCCTGAGGGGGGAAAAAGTGGGAAGGATCTCAACAGGGAAAGGGGGGAAACAATCTTAGGAAGGAAAAGGGAGAAGATCTGGAAAGGCCTTAAAGGGAAGGGGGGAAAGGATCTCAACAGGGAAAGGGGGCAAAGGATCTTAAGGAGGAATAGGGAGAAGATCTCAGCGGGGGGAAAGGCCGTAGGGGGGAAAGGGGGGAAAGGATTCCAACAGGGAAAGGGGGGGAAAGATCTCAGGGAGGAAAGGGAAAAGATCCCAGGGAGGAAAAGGCCGTAGGGGGGAAAGTGGGGGAAAGGGAGGAAAAGGGAGAAGATCTCAGGGGGGAAAAGGCCTTAGGGGGGAAAGGGGGGAAAGGATCTCAACAGGGAGAGGGGGGAAAACATCTTAGGGAGGAAAAGGGAAAAAAACCGAGGGAGAAAAGGCCTTAGGGCGGAAAGGGGGAATGGATCTCAACAAAAAAAGGGGGGCAAAAATCTCAGAGGGGAAGGGGGCAAGGGGACAATTCCAAAGGGACGCAAATAAGAAAGCAGGCCTGTAATGTCGGCGGCCTGAGCCGGAGGCGTTAAAATTTGCAGAGTACTTGGATGCAACCCCGGCAGGTGGATCTTCGTGGGAATATTATTTTGGGTTCCTGCAGTCGCACGAAAGGTATTGACAAAGTGGGTTGTACGTGTGGCTGTATGCAGGGCGATTTGGTCAAGATTATAATCTACTCACAAAACGGGTTGAATTTCCAAATACTGGGCCACCACCATGCCGCTTATCATACTTTTGCCTAAAGGGGAGGGGGACACTTTGTTGAGGACGTTTTGGGGACGGCTTGGGGTTGATTTGCGGCTGGTTCGGGATTGGCTTAGATTCTTTCCTGCAATGCGAGACGGAAGCGAGCAAAACGCGGCCTGAAGAAATTGGGACTTGTGGGGCCACCGAAAAGGTGCTTGAAAAAGGAGGTTAGTTGTTTCAAGAGAATGAAAGAGGAGGTTGCGTTGAGCGTTTTGGCGGCTCAAGCCATTCCTTCCAGCCCATGGGCCGACATAAAGCGTCTTCTTTGCCTCTCGGCTTTTGGCCATCTAGCGTCAATTCTTTCAATCTTCACCATCATCTACAGTTGGGTGACAGCAAATGGCACCATTCCAACCTATTTTGGCTTAGTTTTCTAGATTTGCAGGCATGGGAACCGTGCCGTTTACTTTCACCCCGTGCTCCAAAAGGCAAGAGGGCTAAGTCACTCACAGCTCGCCAAACCGCTTGCCAAACCGCTCGCCAAACCGCTCGCCAAACCGCTCACCATGTTGCCACTTACCAAATCAGATGGTAACAAGCCCGCATTCTTCAACTTACACGCCCACTCTCATGTCAACTGTTACCTGTTGAATGGGGGCTCAATAGCCTTTGGCAAAGCCGAGAAGTATGGGGTTCTGCTAGCCGACTCGCCTCCTCTGAGCTCTGGAGACCTTTGTCCAGCTTGGAGAGCAAAGCCGCGGCAGTTCGCTCGAACTCCGCGCAGGTGTTGGTGAGCCTGCGGTCCGGAGCCGTGCAAAGTGGTAGAAAGAAAGAGTGGTCTAAATAGAAGGGAAAACTTGGGCGGCGGGGAAAGATGAAAGGGGGCTCAACCCTCAATTTAGGATTGAGTTGGTTTCTTCGTTCATCTGTTGAGTCAACGATGCCTATGGCCCCAAAGTTGACCCGGCTTCCGCAAACCCGGAAGGTACCCGGCAAGAGGCCTTCTGTCAGCTTGCCGCCCGCTTTGGAGCCATCCCCTTTGCAGCTTAAAAAAGGGAGCCTGCTGACTATTCAAACCCCAAGGGTTCCAATTCTTTAGGAAACGCCAAAAGTTAGGGGCCCGCGATCAAGCCCAAAGGTGATGCCTTTAGGAAACACCAAACCTCTGTGGACCAAAGATTGGTTCTAAGTGATCGTCCACCACCCCGCCGTGTATGGTGGACACTTAGCGTCCATTTTGCATCTTGCTAGTCTCGGGCTCGGGGCTTGCAACATCGACTTGTCCCTGCAGCTTCTCTTGCAGGTCCGACGGGTGCCTTTTGAAGGCGAGAGGCTGTCCCAACCCCAACCTGCCCCAATTCACCCGGCCCCGTCAGCAACGAGGTCTCCAGCATCGCTGCAAAGTCCCCCCGCAGCTGCGCGCAGGAGCCTAAAGAAAAACAGGGTTGGTTGTCACAAACTTTGCAACATTGCAACACTGAAAGGCATCGACGCGCACGAGTTGTGCGAGGAGAAGACTCTACCCACCCGTTTGGAAGGGACTTGTTCCTGGCACTAGGGCCTGGGACCAAAATCGCTTTACCCAGAAGCAACCATGGGGTAGAAAAAGGAGGTGGCATCGAGAGGAAGTGGGGGCTCAAATCCCAAAAAAGCACCAATCCAAACCACCAAATAGCATCTGACTCGTCAAGGAATAGAACTCAGAAACAGAAACCCCCAAGCCTATGCCAGGGACTTAAAATGTGACAGAAACAGCACTTGTCTGATGGCAAGCCAGGGTGTAACAGGCGAGAAAGAAGTACCAATAAACAAATTGCCCACTTTTGGATGGCGTGTCTACGGAAACCAAATGGAAACCTAAGAATTGCAGTGCTTCCCCCCCCCTCTTGAGCACAGGCAACCCAGCAGCTCTGATGGTGATCAAGACTCCCTGTGTGGTCGTGAAGATCTGACAACTGACTCCCGCCCTTTGACAAGCGGCTGCTAGAGGGGTGATGTCCTAAACATGGCCAGTGGGAAATATGTGGGAAACCGCGCTAAGTGTCCATGTCGGTATGCTTGAATACGGCAATTGACCAGGCTTGTGTGGCTGGATGTGTTTGGTTTGCTCGCTTGTTTGGGGAACAGGGCCTTTTACACATGTTTACACCACCATCAAACTACCTCCTGTTATTTTCCCTGAGGGCCAGGGTCGTGTTGTTCAAACAAATTGTGCAATTGTGCTGGCTATCTGTCTATGAATTTCAATGGACATGATTGCCCACAGTCCCCAACCAAGATTCCTACCCATTTCTTGGGTGTTCTTAAATGGGTTCCTTTCGGATTATATATGTTGTGCTTTGGTAGCGATCGGAACTCGTTCAAAAGGGCCCCTGAACGGGTCTCCCAAAATCAAGCTACGTACCTCAGGTTCTCTCCAATTGGTGGTGTGGACTGCTGTTTTGGAGGTGTTCCGTTACCCTCTGCAAGAACCAGGGCTTCAAATCCCCAAGCCACCAATCCAAACCGCTACCTCACCTACAAAAAGCGACGATCTGGACTGAGCGACCCGGCGCTGCAGACCGGCCACGGCGGACAGCAAGGGACTGGCGACATGCGGGGCCGCCAGAATTGGGCTGCTGTGCCTAGATGGTTCAAAATAGGGGACCCAAAAAAGGGGTTTATTTGGGCTTCCATTAATCTAGGCAGTGTGACTTGAAAATTAAACCCAGGTCCCCTTCATGATTCTAATATCTTTAATGAACCGTCGATCCGCTTAAAGGACACCAAAAAGAATGGTTCATAGAGTCGTTCCCTGCCTATTGTTCGAGTCTGTACATATTGAAAAGCTTGGCTGGCTTATTCCCTGGCCCCCTCTCCCAAATGGACGACAGACAACTGGAAATGTTGACCCTCGATGAGATAGTCTGAAGCTGTGCACAAACATCTTTCTGGGTGTGTCTCTGCATAAAACTCCGGCATAGCAGTCCAGGCATTCGTTCTCAAAAAGATTAGCCACTCAAAACCTTACGTAGTGTTTGGCGACCAGCGTGTGGCTGTGGGAAATTATCGAAACCTTAACGCATCGCCGCAGGGACATCACCAGCATTGCCAGCCTGCATCACGAGTATCACCTGCATGCATCACAAGCATTGCCAGCATCACCACCATCAAAATAGGTTTGCCTGCTGTTGTGCAAACGAACTCCCCACCCAACCCTTCTGCAAACAAACAAACAAACAAACAAACAAACACAGAAACACAGAAACAAAAAAACAAACAAACAAACAAACAATTGACAAGTCAATCACTGGTCCAAGCGGAAACCGGCAATGGTCAAGGACAGCTCCTTTTTGGCCGAGCCATTGCAGCTACTTGGATGCTCAACCTGCAAAGCCAGTAGGTTGTACTGACCTACTGAGTTGTCCCTTGACTAAAAACTAAAGAACCTACCAGAAAAGAAAACACAAACTTGGTTTGCCAGCTCAGGTACAAGTTACAACAATGCTTGGGAAATGTGAGGGTGTGTGTCCTTTTGTGCGGTGAATTTGGCGAATTTCCCACGTCCCGCCCAAAGAGACCATAGACTATTGGATAGTCAATCAATCACGCCATGTTGTCCCACTCATTGGTTCGCAACCTACCAACCAAGTGGATTGCAAATCCAAGTCGGCACTAGAGCGCGCCACTGTCCGCAAGAGTGAAACAGCTCACAAGCCTTCGGCACCTGGCAAAGAAAGCCAATGCATCTGCTTGGGTGATCCCAAATGGCAAACCGGTTCAGTTGCATGCTACACATGGAACCATGGGCAATACAATCATCCTCTTGCAGTGGATGTCCTTTTCGCTTTCCTTTGCAAAATTATGTGTGATCTCACATAGAATATAGTTGTTTTTTGTGTTTTTGTAGGAAATGTAGGCTGTCCACCCAGGTCCTCTCCAAATCAACAGGACGCCCAATCATTCTGCTACTGGCTCATATGTGGCACGGGGTCTTCCGCCGGAAATCTCTCCATACTGCGCGGGTGTCTCTCCAAAAGAAAACTAGTCTGATTGACACAGAACCCGTGCCCAAGGTCTCCGTATCCCTCGATTCTCATCCCGTCCAACCCAAGTCTTTCAAATGGGCTCCAAAACAATCCCCAAAATGGGCTCCAAAAATGGGTCGCGTGGAAGCCCAGCCAAGTTCAGCCCCTCCAATCTTCGATAGGTTAGCTTCTTTTTCCGCTGGTCTTCTTTTGGTCGCTTTTGTGATGGTCTTATTTTCTTCATTTGCTATCTTGGTAGGATTCCATCGTCTCTCGGTTTCCCTCTTTGTGCGTTGGCTTCCCTCTTTGTTTTGTCCTTTCTCTTCCCTGTCTTGGTTGCTCTTAACTTCGCTACATCCAAAAAGCATAACAGCACAACGGTGACCATTCATGCTGACCTTCCCGTGGCTCTTCCTGGCTATGGTCAGCCAAAACGGACATCCCATTCCCCGCCCGCCCCTCCCCCCCAGCCTTCTTACGATCCAGAAGGGAAGGGTAAGACAAAGGGGGGGACCCAAAGCAAAACATTCAAACACACCAGTGTTCAGCCGTTTTTTGCACCCCCGCCGTCTCTCGCCTCTCTCCCACTCGAAACTCGAACCCCCGCCTAGGCCTCCGAGGCTGAGGCCTCGCTCATCGACTTGGCCGCCCGCAGCTTTGCCAAACGCCCGCGCACCGCCTCGACTACCGATGCGTCAAAACAGGGCTACCCCCGAAATAAACGGATTTCGGTTCTTCCTTTCGGTTTTCCGGATCGCCATAGTTGTTTATGCCCTTGTTCATAGAGAAGTTGCAACCAACCCTTTTGTATGGTATCATGTCAACCCCTGATCCATGGAGCACCCCCTCAAAAGCGGGCATCTGGAAGCCTGGGTTCATTCAATTGACATCCTCAAAATTACCCTCTAAATGGTGGTTCAAAGGGAAACCCAAAATGCAACCACTTCAAAGCCGATCTAGTTTGGGAGGTTCCCGCTGGTCTCCTTTCCTCCGGGCTGGGACTTAGCGTAACAAGGCCTGATCATTTAGCTACGCCCATCCCACCGCTCGGCTCGCCTCCCGGGCTGCGCGCTTCTGCTGCCCCAGCGTGCCCCGCGCCAAATCCGTCTCCGCCGTGAGGCGACTGGATCGGGTCGCCGGCCCCAACGGTGGAAGGCATTTTGGGGAAATTGTGTAGAAACTGAAGGCAAACAAAAAGTTGTTAGAAGGAAGCCAAATGAAAAACAACAAGAAAGTTGAAATGAAACAAAAGGGAACCAACAGGCATTTTAAGCTCAGTCTCAACAAGGGGTTGGTCCATTTTTACATGGACTCCCAAAAAAAGCTTCAAAGAAACCAGCCACCTTGGCGGGACCCCAATTCTGAAAGAAAATCGGGATCCCCAAAATTGTCATTTCGTACTTCGTTGCGTTTTCCTTTAAGCGGCAACAGGGGATGCAGAATCCAAAGCCGATTTTCCGGCCTTTGCTTTTCTTGTTTTTAAACCAGCCAAAAAGGAAGTTCGCTAGTGACGCAACCCTGGGATCCACCTTTGTTGATTCCAAAGCACCATTTGGGTTCTGGGGTCAAAAAATATGAGTCCAAATGGGATCTATGTTTGGCACACTGGCATCGCATCGAGCCGCGTGGGAGAAACAACTTAGTCGATAGGCTGCATGTAGAAACCAGCGAGTTGAATCCTTTTGTTTGGATGCTTCCAGCAGAAACAAACCAAAGCCACCACGCAACTGGAGAAGTCGATTCCTAGTTTGAATCCGCACATTGGACTGCCCCGGCCTACGGTCCCTCATGTTCAAAGGAAACTTTAGACACCCCCAAACAAGTACTGCTTCTTGTTAACCTTACAAGGGTACCCAGGAGTCTTAAACCGGGGTGTACCTGAAAACTCCACCGTCCCCATCACAAAATCCCATGTTGGGACTTTTTGATGCCGCACTTTCTAAAAGGGTCTGAAAAGGGGGGTTGGTGCCTTTTGCATAGTTCGTTACTACAACCTCCCCCCTCCTTTTCTGGCAGATACGCCTAACCCGACCCGTGATGTACCTGAAGGGTCAGATGCCCAACTGCAGTGTTTGCCAACTGGGCTCATCTTCTTGTAGGGGACCCCCAAACATGCTAAGTACCTTTTGGTTTCAATTTAAACAAACTACAAAAGCATGGCTCCCTCAAAAAAGGACACACCCAACTGGAGTTCTCTGGTCACATATCACGGAGGCGACCAAACTGGCCAGCCACGCTCTCGCAGGTCCAGGTCCTTTAAAAGAGCGCGGCACGAGCAGCGGGAGGAAAGGGCTGAGACATCGAGTGCATTTCCGGGGCGAAAAAGGGGGGGCCTTGTTTCAGTTGATACGGAAATTTTCGTCACAAGGAGCCAGGAGGCAAAAACTGGGTCGCTGAAAGTGGCTGCAGTTTGAGGGGCCGATTCTCAAAATATGTTAAGCTTGTCGCTTTGATGGCTGAAAATAGGCTGCCGCTTGGTCCATGTGCTTTCAGTGGCGAGCCTGACAACCGCATCTCGTCCCACAAACTTGGTTGCAAAACAAGAACAGGTTATCTATGGGAAGTGAAATGCAAAATCTGCAAAGGGCCCTGTCGCTTAATGGCGCTATTGCTCAATTGGGAAATTAACAGACCAGGGGCCAGTTCCTGCACCAAAGACCCAAATTCAAATACCACAAATGAGGGTTGGTCACACATTCAAATGGGTGTGTGTGTTCCGTTGAGTATCCGCCCAGTTTTAGACATACCCAAATGTCGCATTGGGCTCTTGAGGGGCGAACGCAAGGCAGCCATGGGTGCTTCCATACGTTGCCATTTGCGATTTTGCAGCCGGAGATGCGGGAATGCACTTTATGTACAACTTTGGACTTAAGAGTTGCGAGCCTCGTGCCATGGGAACGCACTTCGTACACTCATACAAAGTTGCAACTTTGCAGCTGGAGCTCCGGAGCGCACTTCGCGTAGGACTTTTGCACTAAAAACCTGCCAATTTCGAGCTGGAGCTGCGGGAGTGCACTTCCAGTACTACTCTTGTACTTAAAATTGCGATTTTGCAAGCCGGAGCTTTGGAGTGCTCTTCGCATACTACTTTTGCACTTGAAACTTGCGAGCTTTCAGCCGGAGTTGAGGGAATGTCCTCCGCAAACTACTTTTGTACCTAGAATTGCGAATTTCGAGCCGGAGCTGCGGAAGTGCACTTCGCGTATTACTTTTGAACTTAAAATTGCGATTTTGCAGCCGGAGCTCCGGAGTGCTCTTCGCGTACTACTTTTGTACTTAAACAGCGCGATTTTACAGCCGGAGCTGCGGGAACGCGGCTCCCGTACTACTTTTTGCACCTAGAAGTTGCCAATTTCAAGCCGCAGATTCGGGAGCGCACTTTGCGCGCCAGCTTTGTGCGTAAACGTTGCCTGCGCAGCCGGAGATGCGGGAGGGCACGTCGCACCTCGCACGGTGCCACAGCGAGAGCGCTTCGACACGCACGATCTCCGCACAGAGCTCGCCGAGCTCAAAACAATTTCGCACGGCGCCACAGAGAGAGCGCTTCGACACGCACGATCTCCGCAGAGGGTTCGCCGAGCTCAAGACACAGTCGCACCGCGCCACCGCGAGAGTTGCCGAGCTCGAGACACATTCGCACGGCGCCACAGCGAGAGCGCCTCGACACGCACGATCTCCGCAGAGGGTTCGCCGAGCTCAAGACAAATTCGCACGGCGCCACAGCGAGAGCGCTTCGACACGCACGATCTCCGCAGAGGGTTCGCCGAGCTCAAGACACATTCGCACGGCGCCACAGCCAGAGCGCTTCGACACGCACGATCTCCGCAGACGGTTTGCCGAGCTCCAGACAAATTCGCACGGCGCCACAGCGAGAGCGCTTCGACACGCACGATCTCCGCAGAGGATTCGCCGAGTGCAAGACAATATTCGCACTGCGCCACAGCGAGAGCGCTCCGCAGAGGGTTCGCCGAGCTCGAGACACATTCGCCGTGCCACAGCGAGAGTCGCCGAGCTCAAGACACATTCGCACAGCGCCACAGCGAGAGCGCTTCGACACGCACAATCTCTGCAAAGGGTTCGCCGAGCTCAAGACACATTCGCACGGCGCGAGAGCGCTTCGACACGCGCAGAGGGTTCGCCGAGCTTCGCACGGCGCCACAGCCAGAGCGCTTCGACACGCACGATCTCCGCAGACGGTTTGCCGAGCTCCAGACAAATTCGCACGGCGCCACAGCGAGAGCGCTTCGACACGCACGATCTCCGCAGAGGATTCGCCGAGTGCACGACAATATTCGCACTGCGCCACAGCGAGAGCGCTCCGCAGAGGGTTCGCCGAGCTCGAGACACATTCGCACCGTGCCACAGCGAGAGTCGCCGAGCTCAAGACACATTCGCACAGCGCCACAGCGAGAGCGCTTCGACACGCACAATCTCTGCAAAGGGTTCGCCGAGCTCAAGACACATTCGCACGGCGCCACAGCGAGAGCGCTTCGACACGCACAATCTCCGCAGAGGGTTCGCCGAGCTCAAGACACATTCGCACGGCGCCACAGCGAGAGTGCTTCGACACGCACAATCTCCGCAGAGGGTTCGCCGAGCTCAACACAAGTTCGCACGGCGCCACAGCGAGAGCGCTTCGACACGCACGATCTCCGCAAAGGGTTCACTTTCGTCTTGCAACGCTTGCAAATGAGCGAAACGCTGCGCCTGCCACGAAATTCACAGACCCTGTTTCCGAAAATGCTGCGCCTGCCACGCATTATTTGCATCAGCGCAAAAACATGCTGCGCCCACCACGAAAAATGCGCGGCAGTCTCACAGAATGCTGCGCTGGCCATGGAATTCTGTGGCAACACACAAATTCGAAGATCGGCGCGGCGCCACAGCGAGAGCGCAGTTTTGAAGAAAGGTCCGCTTCGTGCGAAGCTGTCGCACGCGAGACAACTCTTTGCGACAACTGCCATGGCTTTAGAGCTCCGATTGTCCAAGCGTGGCAGCCTGACCCGACAAGAAGATATCACCGCGTGGCGGCCCTGCCGTCAAAAAACTCACTTTGGTCTCAAAAAAAGCGTTTGGCACGAGGCTTCCTCAAAAAACACACTCTGCGTCGCAGCGCGCACCTCCGTGTGACACGCCCCTGCCAGCAAAAAATGCATTTTGCTTCAAAAAACGCGTTTGGCACGAGGCTTCTAGCGCGTACCTCCCAACTGTTGCCCCTGCCAGCAAAAGCTGAAAAGTGCGAACGGCACCACAGCGAGACGCACGCAAAGGTGGGCACCTCCATTTCGTGCGAGACTGTCGCATCGAAGACAACTTTTTACGCACAGGGCCAGCAATTTGAGCCGACACCTCGATCTACACCAGGCCTTAACTCTTACCGTAAGAACCCCTTAGTGTAAACACTACTTGGGGAAATAGAATCCTAAACGGAAGCCCGGCAAAACTGCCGGTGTTCGACAAGAGCGAGAATCGAACAAACATGGACAGGAAATCAACCCCAAAGGTTGACTCTTATTTCATGGAACCGTGCAAGCGTTTCTCCAAGAAAGTGATGCAGGAAAGGAATCTTACACCCTACAGTTGGGTAGAAAAAAGAAAGAAAAAAACAACATGTCGTTTTGGACATCCCCTTGACTTATCGACATCCCCTTGACTCATCCACCTAAAGGGACTTGCGTCGTCTATTTTCACCCCGGTGTAACCCTTCACGCGCCCCCCCCTCCCGCTTCCCGGTTTCCTGCAAATATGGTTGGTCCTTTCTTGTGGGGTTTCAATCCACCTCCGTAAGATTGTGTCACTGTGGGAAAAATTCTGGACTTTCGTGGATTCCTCTCCCACTCCCTCGCTCCTCTGCAGAGCTGCGCCTCAGGTTGGGGGGGGAGAGAAAAGCATGAAGCTGCAAGTTTAAACTCAAATGTTCAGGTGTTTGAAGAAGTGGAGTCTTCATGCGTTCAACAATGAAAAGCGTGTGTGCTCAAGGCATCTTTGCTTCAACAAGTTGTTCAATTGAACATATCTTTTGGTTTGGGTATTTAAGGCATGTTCGGGCTGTTTGAAGGTGTGGAAGTTTTGATAACCTCCACTTCCACCTGAAAAAGCCCTTCACGCGCCAGCGTGCCCCGGCAAAAGTAGCCTGTGCAAAGCGAGTGCCTTCTTTCAAATCAAGTATCAGATCTCCCTATCCGATTCTAATGGGCGCGAGCATTTTTCTAAAAGATAGTTGCAACCAAATACATAAACCGAAAGCACGTGAGTAAATATGACTGCTTCCAAGGGTATCGTTGTTGTGAGAGTCCCCTAGCGTTTGCCATGACTTGTGCATTTCCACAACCTCAATGAAACGCAGAATACTAAACTCAACACAAAGTAATTCTGACATATTTTGACGGTACTTGTAAATAGATAGGGTTTCATCAATTCCAACTGGTGCGTAGTGGATTTTGTTCATCCGCAGCATCTTTCTCGGGGACAAGGTCAAACTCTTTCGCTTTTGCCGAGGCGCGGCCGCTCAAAGGGCTGCATCGGGACGGGCCTTCGTACGATGCACGTAATCGATGCGCTCTCTTGCCCGAGCAGAAAACCTCTTCTCTAGATGGTGCTTTAAGAGAAATAACTCCCGTGACTACTTTTGAGAACCGCTCAAGATGCAAACGTTTCAGGAGTTCTGTCAAAAAGATGGCCACCGCCCCATTACAGATGACACCAAAATCTATGGCTGAAGACGCCCATGTGCAGAAAAACACCTTTTTGTTTAATCACCATTTGGGGAAACAGGGGGGATTGTAATGGAAAGGATGCACGCTCTATTGACATGCAAGCTTCAGGGGAAGATCATGCTATCATGTCCCCAGGTGGTTTGTCTCGGGAATCTCTTCCGTTTCGCTTTACCAGCCCAACAAAAGGTCCTAATGAAGACACACCCGGCAAAGTCCGCGAATCCGGGGCTAGAGGTTCGCCGGGCAACGAAGAATGGACGGCACTCGTAAGTTAGAACCGAAATCTGTGGAAATCCATTTTCAGCCCACCTCACCTAGGACTGCCAAGTGGCATCACAGTACCCGTTGCCAGCGCCGGTGGCGGAGGCACCTCCTGGGCGTGGCGAACCGTGCAACTTCGAGTTTACAAAGGAAAACAACGACCATGGGTCACCTGGAAGGGTCCCTTTTTTGCAGTTGTGAAGGGGAAACAAAAACAACGACCTAGCTGGGCGCCTTCTTTTTGTGAAAAACCTTTGTGAAAGGGCCCCCACTTCACCCAGTAAAGTTCTGCAAAAACGTATCTAGAAAGGGGTTCTTAGAAGAAATCTGAGAACCCTTTCAAAGCGAGTAGGGGGCCCCTAATGTCTCTCCTATTGAGGGTACTGCCCTGCCGCCGATTAACATGGAATAGAGGAACTCCAGTTTGGGGGGCACGCATTCTAGCTTGCAGAAAAGTATCTTGTCTCGGGCTGTTTTGCAGGGGGAATCCAAAGGGAGACTGCCAATTGTGGGTTCCTCCATGTTGAGACAAGCCTACTTGCCCCGCGAAGATGCATGGCATTTTGGCTATGCTCCGCACTGAGAAATGATGGCCGCGCAGACTCATGGAGTCTCCGCAATTCAAGCAGCAGAACTTTGTCTGGTAGTGCAGGTTCCGGATATGATTGATGCCCCGACCAACCACGCTCACAACAAGCAAGCAACACATGTGACCCTGCCATGTCAGCATCCACTGGCAACATGGTCAGCAGCATGCGAAAGGCAAAGGCATCAAAGACTGCTGACACTACATGCACACTATGACTGTTACCACTATCCTGGAATGGTCAATGTCCCTTGTAAGATGATCCAATGGAACTGCGGCTGCTGCATATGAGATCTCACTGCAACCATGAAGGCTCTTCAATTGTCCTCAGTCCGTAAGTCTTCACAAACTCGTCCGAAGCGTTTCACGTAAATCCTATCTTGACTCACCTTGTTACGCTGCAAAGTACAGGGCAGAAGATACCGGCGACTGGTATTCTGTCTTCGACCCTCAACGTCCCCTCCGAAATGGACCATAGACTACTGGTATTCTAGCAGTATACTAGAAGGCGAACCCACGAAGGGTCGAAAGATCAGAAGCTCTCCATGCACAACTGCAGGACGCTTCTTCTAAATGGCGCGCTGCGGCGCACTCAGATGCGGCCACTTCGTGGCAGCTGTGGAAAAACTTCTTCGGTCATTGTGTCCTTTGGGCGATATCAGTGGTGGAAATCGTGGTGAAGGACCCCTGACACTTTTGGGAGAAATAGATAGTGCTGTTAAATGAGTAGAAACAATCTGAAAGTAGTGAAACCGCATCTATGTTCAAGCAGCACGACCTAAGGACACCACGGGTGCAAAAGATGGGTCAGAACTGGAGCCAAAAGGGGTGTCGGCAAAGCGCATCTAATGCCGCTGCAGTGCACCAACCGAGAATCCTGCTGGAAGGTGCAAGTTGAATTTCTCGAGGCCCCAACGTGTGGTAACAAAATAATGCATTCATAAAATTCATCTAAATGACATCTCGGAAGCAATGGTGGATGGCTCAATCACAGAAGGGGTGCTTTCGTTCAACCCTGCCACAAGGGTAGAAGGTTGGCCCTGCACAAGGAAAGCAACGAGACCTTACCAATTTTCTATCTTTGTGGTCCCCAGTCGCTTTGGAGCACCCCAAACACAAACTCTTTTGCCTCAAGTGGGCACCGCCGCGGCTGCGCGAACAACAGCTCCCCAGCTCCATGTGGCAGATGTGGGTATCTTTTGTTCGGCGACCCTCAAAAATCAAGCTTTTGTCTAAAACCAACCAAAAAGGGATTCCCTCAAAAAAGGCAGACCCAGATCTGCGCAGATCCGGACGCTAGCGAAGATCGCCGGCTTTGTTAAATCGAATGGAGGCGTCGAAGGGAATGCCGCTCTTGATCATTGTACTGGCCTCAGGCACGTGCAAGCGCGTGCGAATGATGGTCAAAATGGCCCGCTTTGCGGACCCCATGTTCAGCAGGCTTCCTTATATGCCCTCATCCAATGCCAAACAAATGCTTGATATATGTATATCTACATATATAACTTGGCAAACCAAAGGGTGATGCTTTGAACCTGCCCTAAGGAGGGAACAGAAGTCATAAGGTTCCCTTTACAGGGGGAAAAAGTTGGGAACTGTGTGACAGCGAGAATGGCAGACCGAGTCGCAAAGCTGGCCTCTGGCGAAAGCGCCTTCACGCGCTTCGTTCCATTCACCCAGGAGGGCAGAGTGCCTGCAGGCTTCACACAAAGGGAAAGTGTCCTGGAAACACAGCCCCCATTGAGAATCAAAGAGCACTTGGTAAGGGGGCATTAAAAAGCATGCCCGTGTCAACAAGCCCCCCGTTTATCGCCCCTCTTTGACTGGCACTTAACGAAGAAACATTGAGAAGCGACCATGATCCCCCACCCTTTTCCTGATATAAACTGGGTGATATAAACTTCTCGCAGTTCAAAAGGGTCACCACATGTCAAACTGGGAATCCATCGGGACAAATACAACTCCACCAGAGGTCCCCCATGCCTTTTTGGCTGGTTCTTAATTCAGGAAATCATGGCAAGCCAAAAAAAGTGCCTATTTGCTCAAAGAGTTGACCAAGTCAAAACAAAAACGGGTGAAGGCCAAAAAAATGTGGGTGTGTTGAGGCAACGACGGCGAAAAGTGAGTGGCTGTTAATTTGGTTTCTCCTTGAAACACCATCCAAAAGGAGGTCGACCCCCGCATTTCCCAACCAAGCAGGCCGGAAGACGCCAAAGCAATTGACGAAAGCCTGAACTGTCAGCAGGCTTGAGCAGCAATACTGCACACGATTCAGAACCTTGGGTCGTCCGCCAATGTCCTCCCTGCCTTTCATGACCACCAACTGAGGCAGATTTGGGACCTGGAAAGGAAGCCTGTGCAAATTTCATGGTTGTCTCAAAACGGTTCTGGCCATAAGGGAGCCTGCAATTGTCAAATCGTGGAAGCTCATCTTATGGGAAGTCACACTGAAATAAACTCTGCTTGAAAAATGGGGGGGTGTTATGTGCGAAATCCCCTAACTGACCATGAACCGATCAAAACCCCGGGCTAACACCCTGTGGTTGATCAATGGGGAGGAGTGTTCCATTTCAGCGAGAATTGATCTGCGAGGTTGATGCATCCGGGGGTGGCACAGCACCTGTGAAGGATATATATATATATGTATAGAAAGATTCGTTCTGGCTTGCCCTTTTCCGCGCTGCAAGACCAGGTTTGTCTGAAAAATTGGAACAACAATCATACTTGAAAAACACGAAACTCCCCACCTGCCCCAGCCCCAGTCTTGACCAAGCCCAGAAACCAAAAAAAGGGTAAGTCTTTGAGTCGGATTACCCATCGACTCCTTAAAACTCCACAGCAGTTTCCCCACAGTGACAAAAATTGTCGGATTACCCCTCGACCAGTCTTTTCTCACCTTCATTCCACATCCCCCTGTCCTGCCCTTGGCTTGCTCAAGTTTCGGCAGTGGGCTTTGACTGCCTCAACATATTGAGCTTTGAACAATGATGCGGGGCCTTCAGCTCGGCCAATACTGCGAGCCCTTCATTCAACTTTCTCCTCTTCTCACCCTCTTTTTCGTCAACCTCCCACAGGAGTTGCTCCCGCAGGAGCAACTCCCTCGCCTCCCACCGAAGAAAGCCCCGGGGCAGGAGTGGGATTGCGAGCCCAAAACTCCTTATCCCCGAGATCAAGTAGCTCGCCTCTGTGCAGGGCCCGGCTCCAAAAATGGAAAGACCGGCACCCCAGACAGAGCTCCTTAACTCTACTAATGCTAAGACACAGGTCGCACTGGCACACACACCTTCAGAGGTGTGCCCCAGTGAACCCATGAAGCCGAAATCTCGCGGACATGCAAACCGAATTCATCTTTAAAGACCGGGACGTTACCTCCTATATTTGAAAGATGACTTTCCCTTTGAATCGACCCTTTGTCAGGTGCCATGTTGCCATATGAGTGGAGGGAGGGTATCAGAAATGTTAACCGAACGTCATACAATCCGTTTGCTCAATCGACCTCCTGAACCCAAAGTCCATACTGTTGAGGGACGAACATCCTGCACCAGTTGGAATGACTGAAACCCTATTGATAGTGGGATAAACCAGCTATCAACTAGTGCAGGATTTCGTCCATGCACAGTAGCCCTCGGCTCGCCTTTGCCATACTTCTCGCTTGAGGTGGTGTACCAGGCAGATGGGTCGAGGAAGCTGTCCTTCAAGAATTTAGGCGGCACTTTTCAAGTGGGCATTTCGCCAAATGAAAAGAAACTGCAAATAGAATATGGAATCACAACACGAATGCAAACAGTGCTTTTCTTGTCTGGATTTCTGCCACAACAGCCCACAAATGGGTACCAACTCAAAAAAGACAAACCCAAGTGAACCGCTTGTTGCGTGCAGGTGCAAAGAAAAAGATGGGCTGGACAAGTCAGCATCAGAATTATTTGTCTGGGGTGTATTCATCCCGACGTTAGGACGTCCCGTATCGTTTTTCGAGAAAAGACCCAAAATAACGTGTGCATGAAACACTCCTACATAGACTAAATGACAGCAACTTTGAAGCCGACTCTAAATGGGCTTTTCATTCAGCTCTAAATGGGCTTTTCATTCAGCTGTCCACTTTGCAACGTGGAAAAAGAACAAACCGCTCCTCATCCAGCGTGCATCTCCGCGAGCTAGACACGCCTCAGGCACGGACGAGGGAGCTCCATGGTGGCCATGTCTCTGGGGCCACCACTGGAAGGGCGCGAGGTGCCCTGAGCAATGCGTGACAATGTTCCACGCTGAGAGTCTCATTGGGAAACTTGATGAGTTCCAACGAACCATGGACTGGACATGTTGACCAAACCTCATACAATCAAAAACGAGAATGCGGTTGGAATTTCCTGTTGCGCCCGCCCAATGTGCGCGATATCCCGAGCAACTTCCCAACATCTACTGAAAATCACGCCATCCACTTTCACAATGGCAAAAATCCTTCAGGTCACCGCCCAGTTGTGCGAGACAAAGTAGAGCCCCCCTCCCCTCGGGTTCCCCTCATATTTTGC